TATAATATATATATATATTATATATATAAATATATATTATATATAATATATATATATAATAATATATATATATTATAATATATAATAAATATAATATATATATATATATATATATATATATAAATATATAATAATATAATATATATATAAAATATATAATATTATATATATAATATATAATATATATATATATAAATATATAATATATATATATAATATATATATATATATATAATATATATAATATATATATATATATATATATATATATATATATATATATATATATGTAAACACTTCAATTCATAACAGTCTTTCAGGTTACCTACTTTCTTTTAGATAACTTCAGGTACTGTAATACTATTATCATGACACTATTAACTATTAAGCTAGATAATTACACTAAAAGAAAGGGTCATCATAAGTATCATCACAACTTAAAAAATATTTCAAACTAAACTCTGTTAACCTGCTCATTTCAATTAAAAAGAGAAAATTAATAATATAAGCAGTTGCTGTAAACTCTAAGTTGTGCCTCCTGAAACGGTTATCATCTGGATAGCAATTCTTTACTCTTTGTGAATAAAACCTTCAAGATAAAAATTTGGCTAAAATACACATTGCCAACATTAAGATTTAGATAATGATAACAACAAAAAAAGCTTCTCTAATCGCAGTTACAATGCCTTTGGCTGCTAACCATTTACACACTGCTGTATATGCTTTAACATATATAGAAGTTGGCCTTTTAAAAAGTATTAGACAAAAACAATATGATAAATGAGAACTAAAAAAAAGCTTGTTAAACTTAGATGCAAAGGATGGGTTAAAAATTAATAAAAATTTAAAATACTGACATAACATCATCCTCATGAAAGCATTTTCCTACTACAGGTGCTTCTTCTCCCAACTATAAATGATACACTATTATAAGAGGTTCACCAGACCACAACTTTTGGACAAATAAAAACAAGGTGTCATGAAAAATATACAAAAGGGGGTGATCATATAGACCAGATTTAAAATGACAAAGAAAGTAATTGCACTACAACAATGCTATTAAAAAAAATTCAAAATATCAAACCAATCTTTTTATGCTGAAGACTGCTACAAACTACAGGTATATCTGAATCTATACATTCACCCACTTATACACCAGGCAATAAACTATGTATTTTGTTATAATATAAACAAGATGAGGTGACTGAAGTTTCAGAGCTAGTAGCATCAATAAACTATGGAATATTCAATACAGCTTTATGTTTACAATAAGCAAATAATATGTAAGCCATACTTGAACAGCTCCATTTTTTAAAATTTAAATTACTTTGAGAAATTACTCAAACAGGCCAAGAAACATGTTCCTTCACAAGACGTTCTTTAACCATAAGGTAATACACGCACGCACACACGCACGCACCAACACCCACACCCACACCCACACAATCCCATACACACACATAATCCCACACACACACACACAATCCCACACACACACACAATCCCACACATACACGCACACGCACACACGCACACACACACACACTCATTCACTCACTCACTCACACACACACACACTTACTTACACACACACTCACTCACTCACTTACACACTCACTCACACACACACTCACTCACACACTCACTCACACACATACTCACTCACACACACACACTCACTCACATACATTCACTCACTCATTCACTTACTTATATAAATCTCACATGTAAATATTGGCAATTGTAGAATTGAATAAGACTGCAGTTTCTTTTTCATGTTCATTATATAAGTAACAAATTACAAACCAAGGCATTCACTGCTTTTACAATCCATGTCATTGCTCTTTAGAACTTTAGAGAAGTTGGTAGATCTGTGGTTTGGGTTAACCCAATAACTGCACAATTAAGCTTTATGGCTTGAAATCCCAAGCTGTATTCAAGTAAAAAAAAATCATCCCCCCACCCCCCACATCTAATTCATAATTAGTGCTGCCTGAATAACCATTTTCCTATAGTGCTATTGCATCCGAGAAAGAATGAAAAACTAATTTCACAAAACACAATTAGCGTCTCAGCTCTCCTTAAGGAAAAGTTACACTTAGCCTCTTATATTATGGCATTGATTTGCCTTGGATTTCGAACATGAAACTGATGTAACATGAAATTTTACTGTGATACTGATCTGCTTATCATGCAACACACAAGCACACACAAACATACCCTCATCCTTACCAATATACACACTAAATTTCTTTGTCTTTCTGAGTAGATACACACAAAGTTTCTTAATCCTTCAGAGTAAAATATGTAAATATATACTTTCTCTTTTAGTAAAGGAAGAAATTCAGGGTTAAAAATATCAATATATAATAAGTAAGCTATGCAACGCCAATAAAAATGTAATTAATCTCATGACACTGTAAGCCAATTGACAATATTCATTCTTCAACTGTTACCTTTGTCATTTTATCAGGGTGTTTACCTCCATACCTAATTTAAT